TTATTTTCATAAATATTCCATAGATGTCACTATTATAAACTAAAATATATTCCGTTTAATTTCAAGATTTCAACTTATTCTCTCAAAAAGATCGCCTAAAACTTTATCACTGTCGGACGCCCAAAGATTTCTACTGCAAGCAATAGGATCCTTAATTATGCCAGTGTACACATCGTTGTGTGTAAACATCGTTTTTCTTATTTTCTGTTTTTTAGAAATTAAAGGAAGGAACTTAGAAGCGAATGGCAAATATTCTTATAGTCAAATAAAAAAATAGACGCGTCTTGACTTCATCCATCAATCTAGCTTCCAAACGAATGCAAATTATACGTTAATAAAAAGCACTTTTAATTTATAAAAATAGTAGCTTTCGCAGGCGACTCCGTCCACTTGGATTAAAAAAAAACAAAAGGCTAGAGAAGAAAAGTCTTTACATCTATGCCTAATTTCATCGAGTTCAACTGTGTAGGTTACAAATTCAAACAAACATCCATCCATCCAAATGTTCACATCATATTAGTTGCGAAAATTAGATGGACGGATGTTTATTAGAGTTTGTAGCTTTAGGCTGAAAGGATTTCGATGAAATTTGGTATAGATGTAAAGGACAGTCTGCAAGACATATGCTACTCATTTTCGTTTTCTTTCTATTCCACGCAGGCAAAAGTTAGTTCATAACATTAGTAAGATAGATTGACTATTTCCATAATTTGACTACTTTCCCGCGTTTAAAAATCCTATCATATTACTGTTTACGTTTTATATGAAAAGACTTTTAGCTTTACTATATACAAAAACAGGTTTAATTCGCGTGTGCATTCACTAATTACAATTCGGTGAAAGCGCTCGATCATATAAAGCCGACCTGAATTTTGACGCTCATGTAATGCAAACGGTTTCTCACAAACGTCACATGGTATGTTTTTCGCACCATGATTAAAAAAATGAGTAGAAATAAATTTGATTGTTTATTGTTACCAATACTTACAATTTGTCCAAATATACTTACAAGCTGTTACTGGAGTCTTCGTCGTCGCTTCGTTGTTCTGGCTTAATCAAAGATTTTTTTTTTATTGTGACTGATTTGTCACTGTTTGCCTTGAAGAGGCATTTACAGATTCTCCGGGCTTGAGGTGGCCCAGCGCAGATGGCGCTTAGCCTAAACCTCTTTTATGAGTAACTAGGCTCGAGGGCTCCCTCAGGAGCCTCGGCTCGGGCCGTTACTTCGTTATTATTACCGGATTGGGAGGCCATTAATCAAAGAGCACATCCCTTAGTGTATGATAAACATAAGTATTTGTTAAACTACTTAAAGTGGCAGATAGATTGTTTTTAAGATCAGCACCGTATACTGTGGTGATCTTGACTCTCTACTCTGACTACTCTGCTGCATATATGCAGTTCTTGTATAAGATGTGCGTAGTACTCAGATAACAAAAACGTAAACAAAATGTACATAAATTATGAGTTATCATTACTGATTTATTAATTGTTTACTCCAGGTGGTTACATTGTCTCAGAATTCGATTATGAATTACTAGCTGTTGCTGGCGACGTCGTCCGCGTGAAATTAAAAATAAGCCTATGTTACTTACTGGAAACGTTGCTTTTTAACGGTGAAAGAATTATTGAAACCAGCCCAGTAGTTTTTGAGTTATTTCAACACACAAAAATACAAATCATTCCTCTTTATATTATAGTATAGATATCAATTTTGAATTTTTTTAATGACGTTATTTTTGCTAAATACACTTGGCCTGTATGTTGATTTGCTTTGGATTTGTTTTACAAATAGGGCGATGGCTACGTACACGTACACAACTTGGGTAGGCTGCAAGATGGACCTGGTCAGGGTTGCGGGAATATCCTGGATGCGAGAGGCACAGGGCAATTCATGGCGACCTTTGGGGGAGGCTTATCTTATGCCTAGTAGTGGGCGTCATGTCGCTGAATAGATAGGTATATAATCTTCCAAAAGTAACTGAAGGTATTTTATTTTATGTTAGGCTGTTGTATATACTGGCTTTGATTACTTTAAGATATATATCAGTTAATTGAAAAACCATCTTTTCAACTGAGAATTATGAGCAAAGACAGTGTAAAAATAATAAAAATAAATTTAAAAAACAAATCCTTTTTTCATTACATTTCTGCATGTAATAATTTTTTGAATAAAATTAGATAGAATAATTGGTATTGTTTATGTTGTTTTTTTTTAAAAGCAAACACAATATAATCAATATTTATATTAGAAATGTTGATTTTTGTATGAGATGGTCAAAAAATGAAAATATAAACAATTGCATTGAGTTATTGAGGTATCTGCCTTTATTTTCAAAAGGAGGCAATTTACTATTAAGGATAGACTTATAATATACTATTTATATTTTTACATGGAAATTTTCATCACAATAAACATTAAACCTAGGCCTTTTCGCAGTAATGATTAACAGATACATCTGCAAATAATTCTGCATAATGTATTCCTTCCTTGAGATGCCGCAGCCAGCGGAGAACCATATGAAAAAGTTCTTATAAATAATATACAAAATAATACAAACATTATTTCATTTCTCCACAAAGAAAATTGAGATTTAACATTATCATAACATTTAATTCCATCGGGAAAATTCGTGATCATTCCACATTTACAATGCAATTCGATTCTTTACAGAAAAATAAATATACAAATATATGAGTACACAACCAGTGATTGCTTATATCTGAGTTCAACACTTCTCATCTGCAAGGAGCGGGTCGAAGGCAAAGCCAAGGTCGAGCACAGCCGGCGGTGGC